GTTACTGTGAATTAGCCTGTATTGAGCTTCCACTTATTAGTACTGTACTTTCTCAGGTTCAGCGCGTAAAGCTGCCGATGATATCATGGGGTGAACTCAATTATAGAGCCAGGCGAGGATAAATAAAACACTGTCTCTTTAATTAGCGCACCAATAACAACATGGTACGGAAACTACGTAACTCGAAACAGACTCTCAGGTCGTTAATATAGTCCATGGTCGGAGCAAACTTACACAGCCGAGGGATCTACAAACAAGAGGTCAGAGAGGGGAGTCTGATAGTCCGTACACAGAAAAACACGATCCGAATCAAAGGGGTTAGGCAAAACTCGGTGGTCACAAGGTAGTCCATGGTCAGAGCTGGAATAACAGGTACAGAAACCGCTGGAAAGTCTGCACATACGTTAGAACGATCTGGCAGTTTTCTGGTGGGGGAAAGCTGCCTATAAAGGGATGAAAACAGTTAAAAACAATGAGTGCTGATTAAAGCAAAACGTCTGAACCTAAGGTGAAACAGAAACAGGAAGTAATGTTGAAATAAAAACATGAGAATGGAAGCTGAAGTGACAGAATCATGACAGTACCCCCCACACAAGGATGGCTCCCAGACATCCAAACACAAACCAAAACCAGAGCAGGGCCAAGCAGGGAGAGAGGCTGAGGCGGGGGGAAAAAAAAAAAAAAAAAAAAAAAAAAAACACACAAATGACAATAACCACTGGGCCCACAAACAAAAGTTCAAGAACAAAGACAGGGGGAACCAGGACCAAACAGGCAAAAAAAATAAAAAACCTAGAAAAACATAGTTCAAGTCCATGGGATGCCCACAAACAAACAGGGCACCACCACTCAAGAGGACAGCCACAGGACCTGGCAGATGGCTGGAGGTCTGGAGTTGTCTTCAGCGCTGGACAGAGAACCGGGGGGTCAGGACCACTGACGATCCACCAGACCGGACCTCAGCCAGTGCTGCGCTGGTGCTGCCACCAGCAGGAACAGGCTCTGTGGCCGTGTTGGCGCACCAGCTGACCCTCTCAGGAACAGGCTCAGTGGCGGCATCGGCTCGCTGGGTGACCCGCTTGGGATTAGGAACAGGTTCGGTGGGGGCGTTGGGCGCACCGGCTGACCCACTCGAGAACAGGAACAGGCTCCGGGGGGGGCTTTGGTGGCCCGGCCAATTTTTTTTTTGGGAGAAGGGGGGTGCCATCACTGTCAGCGAACCCCTCAGGAGCTGGGAGAAGGGGGTTGCTGTCATTGTCGGTGAACCCCTCTGGAACTGGGAGACATGGGGCGGCATCACCGTCATTGTTGGCAAAGCCCTCTGGAGGAAGGACTGAGCATTGCAGCTGTCGACCTACCAGGGAACAGGAACAGGGGCAACATCGATGTCATTGGCGGTGCACCCATCAGGAGGAAGGGCAGAGGGGGTGTTGAGGCTGTCAACCCACCAGGGACCAGGAACAGGTTGATGTGGCAGCTTTCCGGTGGGGGAAAGCTGCCTATAAAGGGGTGAAAACAGGTGGAAACGATGAGTGCTGATTAAAGTAAAAAAGTCCAAAACTAAGGTGACACAGAAACAGGAAGTAATGTCAAAATAAAAGCATGAGAATGGAAGCCAACGGGACAGAATCAGAACATAAATCTATTTTTGCAGAAATTACAAATTTCTATATCATACATTTATGTATACTGTAGTAACTCAACTCACTTTTGACAAAATAGTTATCATGGTTGCCAATTATATTGTTCATGTATGTGTGACCTTTACCCTTAATGTTGAGCTTCCTAACTTGAGTTCTCCTGTGATATATGCATGCAGTATCTGTCAGGTGTCAGGGTATTGGTGGCAGGCCATTGCTTTAAGATAACAGCAAATTATTTCAAGATGCCAAGACAGTAAATCTTTATTCGCCACACCTTTAGTTGTGTTTCCATAAATTTGCATCACTGTTGTGTAAGTAAGTGTTATGGTTTAGTCCCCCTCACCAGGAGGGTGAGGGAGAACTGGGGTTGGACTCAAGATGGCTGACCCAGGTGCTAGTACAAAAAATGGAGGTTTAATGGAATAAAAAAAAAAACAACAAAGTGACAACATAACAGGGTCCATAATACATACAACAAGGGAAGGGCAGTGATGACTAAGGAGACCAGGTACACATACACACTAATGCGCAGAGACAACACCCCCCCAAAAAAAAAAAAAAAAAAAAAAAAAAAAAAAAAAAAAAAAAAAAAAAAAAAAAAAAAAAAAAAAAAAATGCGGGTCAAACACAACCTTTGTATAACTTACTTTAAGTATTGTCCGTTACACGTCGCAATGCTCCGGCCCAGGCGGAGCATCTGCCCGAGGTATAAATAAGGAGGAAAACTAATCAGCGGGATGCACCTCAGCTGTGTGCACCGACAAACGAGTCGCCAATTACCGAGTGCAACACAGCTGAGGTGCAGAATCCCGCAGATCAAGAAAATAGAGGAGAGAAAGGGGGAGGAGAGGCAGCGGCCGCCGAGCGGCCCTGACAGTAAGTGGGCCATTGCAAAGTTGAGTGTCCTTGACGCCAGTGTTTTTGAGCTGTCAAGGAGAAACTGCACTTCAGATTGTTTTTCCTTTCTTTCAGTTTTTTCAAATGAAACAAAGGCGTGGAGACCTTATTTCATGCACCAGATTGTTAAAATACTTGAAGGCACTGAAGTATACTTACTTGACACCCTGGGTTACTGTTTTCTTAGCTGTCTTACTCTTGCATGTTTTAATATATGCCATTAACAAGCAGTTTGGTGTGTGAAATGAGCATTAGCTTTGACAAGACATGTAAGCTTTTTTTGCATCACTATAGGAAAAATCTAAAAGCCATCTGGAGGCCATGTGAGCCTGGAGTAAAAACAGCTGCCCTTAGTGTTTTAGTAGTTCCTGAACTCTGTGTGATGATTAACAGCTTATTATGTTGTGTTTGTCTGTTTCCCTCAGGCAGAATTAATGTTTTGTCTCTTAGAACTGCTTTGACAAATTTAATTAAAGAGCTGTAATTCAGCATCATGTATCACACACAGTATCTAGAGATGTACAGTGATAGGCTAAGCTCTGAAGCCAGAAGGAAAGTCTCCTTTCAAATTAATTAAAGCATCTCCATTACTACAAAGTGCTGGTGGTAAGCTGTGTTGGCAGTGTGTCACACCGGTGTGGCATTGGTATTACATTCCTGATAGAGGCAACCAAATACAAGCCTCAGTGGCTAGTGCACGAATTCATCTTCTTATAGTGCTTTAAAATAATGATATATAAAGTTACTGTTTGTGTGTTGGTTCATAAAATAAACAGTATTCTCACAAGCACTGATGTCCACTTTAAAAAAGATGACCCATTTTTCAAAATAATAAAATGAACTGCAGAAAAGATCATTTGTAACTGTATATTAGTGTCTGGCTGTAATTTGTGGAAAGTAATTGAGTACATTTGTTAACTTTACTGGAGTATTTCAATTTTCTTCCATTTATACTTCAACTCTCTACATTTCAAAGAGAAATGTTCTACATCAGGGGTCACCAACATGGTGCCCGCAGGCACCAGGTCGCCCGCAAGGACATGAGATGCCCGCAGGCCTGTTCTAAAAATAGCTCACCATAGGCACTTACCAGTGAGATGCATCAAATTTTTTTGTTGCTATCCTTCACAGTCGCATTGGTGTAAATTAGAAAATGACAATATAAAAAAAAAAACTTTAAAAAAGTTTCATATTAGCTCGTGAAGGATTAGAACATGTAGATTGGAAGACTGAAGATCATAAACAGCATCCGCTCCAGAGCTAAACAGCACAGAATAATTCAAGGTGCTATTGGAGGAGCTGTCAGCTGAATATGGTGACCTGTTACTACAAGCAGAAATCTGATGGCTTCGCAGGGGACGAATTTTGCTTCATTTTTTGTCACTTTTGGGTGAAATCAAAGAGTTTATGCAATCCAAAGGCGAAGACACCTCACTGCTGGAGGACACTGAGTGGACACTTGACCTTGCATTTTTAGTGGACATTACTGGAAAACTGAACCATTTTAACTGTGAACTGCAAGGTAAAGGTAAGACTGTTGCTGACATGATAAGTGCTTTAAATGCATTTAAGGCCCAGATGAATATTATCCCTGTGCATTTATAGAGAAAAAAGGTGCTGCACTTTCCCTCTGTTCAGATGGTGCTGAGAGACAATGCTTCTGCGTCTGAGACTTTTGACAAAGTTGCAGAAAATTATTCTCAAGTCATAAACAGACTTGGGCAAGAGTTTTAGAACAGGTTTTGTGACCTTGATCAGCTTCAGCCATGTGTGTCATTCATTTCCAATCCTTTCATGAACGCGGACACAACATGCATTGCTGAGCAACTAAGTGCAATGTTCAGCTTGGATGCTGGACAGGTGGAGATTGAAATTGTAACATTGCAAAATGACCTCCACCTCAAAGCCTATCAGGCTGTACCAAACCTTTGGTGCCTTGTTGACACAGAAAAGTACAGTGGTGTATGCACAGCAGCTATGAAGGTTGTCAGCCTGTTTGGTTCAACCTATTTTTGTGAATCAGCCTTTTCCGACATGAGCTTCATCAAGAACAAACACAGAACATGCCTCACTGATGCACATCTGCAAGACTCAGAGTTGCAGTGTCAAGTTACACCCCAGATTACAATACACTGGTGAACAGCATGCAATGCCAGGCTTCCCACTAGAAACAGATAACAGATGTTCTTAGTGGCAACATGGCAGTGCCATGGCAAAGTTTAATTCATATATTGAAAAATCGCAACAAATGTGTTTATAAAATGTAACATTTGATAATTTTCAGATTTGGTGTTAAGATTTATTAAAAAATCTGAAAGTTGATTTTTGTATGTTACATAATTGATAATTTGTACAAACATTGTGCAACGTAGCGCATGATTTGTTAAAAATAGTTAGTGGCTAGTGAAAATGGGACATTGTGATTTCCTAGGAATGTTGATCATTTGAACATGTAAATACTTGCAGAGATTTATAAAATAAAGTGTTGCATATTGATATTTGTTTCCTACCTTGTTAAATCATTGTTGATAATTATTGTGAGAAATCTTTAACACGATCAGCATCTTCACAGATGAATATCATTAATTATTAATAATGACATATAATTAAAGGTAAATTGAGCAAATTTGTTATTTCAGAAGTGTGTATCAAACTGGTAGCCCTTCGCATTAATCGGTACCCAAGAAGTAGCTCTCAGTTTCAAAAAGGTTGGTGACCCCTGTTCTATATATTACTGCACTACATATAATTAACAGCTATAGATGTTATGTTATAGAATAAATTGGAATCTTATATGAAAATTACAAGGTATAGCATGCTGCATACTGTATGCAGTAATCAATTAAGATCCTCAGTATATAAAGTATAGTTTAAATTAGTTCCACTACAATGCTACATACACACTAATGCAATGATATACTATAGTGTAACACAAAGGCCATTTTTCCACAGTTGTTGTAATTTTATGTTGGGTGCTGATGTTAATCTCTGTGCTATAATACACTTTTAAACTGTGTTTTTATGATCTACAACACAACAGACACTCCGAATCCACTTCCAGACTATTACCATTAACACCAGGAGGCAAAGGTGAACAAAATTAGTTTTTTCCAAGTCATTAGTCCTGGGGAAATGTATTAGGACTTAAGAAAGTCTACAGTAAAAACTGGGATTTCTGCAATAATTCACCCTGCAGCTTCTGAGAGTGGCAAAAGACTCCCTTGCTCCACGTCTAGATGATAAGACCTTTGATTGCTCAACCCTTCAGTGCTCTAAAAACTTGTCTATTTTCTTTCAGCTCTCATGGCTGCTGTCTCCGTTATTGGAGTGGAGAAATAACCATTGTGGAAAAGCCTGAAACTAGGCCTGTGGCTCAGTAGAAATGTTTTAATTAACTGGAACAATGTTTAATACAGTCCTCAGGACACTGGAAGAACAAATGGGCACTGCAGAAGCCTATTGTTGGACTCTGGTCTGGCAGCCTGCTTCAGGCTGCAGTGGATTTGGGTGAAGGTCTGCCTTATATGAATGCCTCTGTGACTTCTAGATCATGACTAAAAACCACTCAGCTACTCAGGCTCACAGCAAGGGATTTATGGAGTCCTGCTCTGGGGAAGGTGCCAAAGACACACAGTCACCTTCAGTTTCTTCCCCTTGAGTACCTTCATGTCTTTATTATCTGGATGGAAATTATTGCAAGCCAGTGTTATTTGAAGCCACTAAAAAAGTCACCTGATCAGAATCTTGAGATTCATTATTTCCTCTGCACAACCACATGGGAGAGTAGTTTTCCATTATGGATGATGACATTTTACAATGTAGCAAACAAATACAGATATGGAATGTATTCACTATAATCACGCTCTGTTGAGTTGCTTGCTGAAAGAGCACTCTGAGAAACAAGGCTGGAAGAGAGGCTGAAAATGTTTCTGAAGAAAAATACTCCCTGGTGTCTTTATTGGTGTTTTAATCAACTCTTTTCTCTTTTATTGATTTCAGCAAGAGGCATTTCATAAAGCAGCAGACCAGAACAGGTTGGCAGTGTGTACCTTCCGTTGAACAGGCAGCAAACTTTTCACCATGAATCCTGAGCCGTGGTACACCATCAGAAAATGACACTTCTGCTTCTCTCCCCAGAACAAACATTTTTTTTTGCTTTGTCTGTTGTTTGGTGCATATTTTATCTCCATAATTAACAAATGTAATTAGAATTATGGCTTCTCGTGACAATGCCGTCAGCCCACTTGTCTCATTAGAGTGATAACAATTTTCATGACATTACTCAATCACCTTGGTCCCTATCTGGAAAAATAATCAGAATGATGGCTTTAAAGCTTTGATCTCTTGCGTCTTGGAATGTGTCTCACATTGTGTAATTAGATTTACAGACAAATAATGGTCACTATATTCTCTTGTATTAAGCACACTGATAAACCAAGACTTCACTTTACAGGGATATTTTCCACTTACTAATGTCTTTACCATATTAATGCTAACCTGACTTAATGGCTCAGTGAGCTCAGATATAAGATGTCAGGCCCTTCATGCTAGCTCATAGCCATTTTCTCATCATTCTTTTTCATTTATCTCACTACCTTTTCATATCAACTTGTGCAAAAATAACACAAAAAAGCATTTTAGTGATTCAAATCAGCCAAACAATCCTGCTACACAGACATTAATTTGTTGTTATTATACTGATAGCAGGACTCATAAAAAGATACTAAAAAGGCAGGATTAAGCCCTTATTAAAAGTAATCATTCCTCGTCATTTGCAGCTGTTGCTGGAATTAAACTAACACACATTATGGGTTGTCATTAATGTTCTGAGTCACCATAATGCCTTTGTTTATCGAGTAGTTACTGAGCTGAAGATTGTCATCTATTCTCAAATACTGAAGGATTCAGAAAGCAATGGTTCCCGGAACAAATGAATAGTTTATCATTTTTGAATGAAGGAGCAAATACGCAAAATGTTACTTTTATAGCCACACAATGTGTTGTTTACCTAGAGGTGTTAGTCAGTCTTTTCAGATAGGAAACTCTCCAAAACTCTTGATTGTCATTCAAGGACAACAACAATTGCCCTTGGCAGATGAAGCCCTACAGTATGTACAGAACTGTAGGAGTCTCATTGCCAGGTTTTCCCCAGAAATCCTAGAGATCAGCAGAGCACAGGATTTTTTCTGCTCAAAGAAGTGACTTGTGCGATTGAGTCCTTACCTAGAAAATCTACAGCAATTCTCTGTGCAAATTACTGCCTGTCTGGCTTTTTATGCAGTGTGGAGCTTCCCATACCTGTCACCCAGCAGACTGATGTGGTCCATTTTGCTTTGCTTTTTCTCTGTGTTGTTCCTCGTTTACAGGAACTTGGGACTGTGCTCCTCACACACAGCTGTGCATAGAGCACAATGCTCCTTAGTCACAAGTAGAGACTGTATGTGCAGTTTATCAGAAAACATACAGTATGAACAAGCAGAGTACAAACTTGCAGAAATGTGACATCTTTCTTGGTTTGCCTGAAGTCAGCTTGCTGAAGTCCTTGTTTTACCTCTAAACCAATGAGGGAAGTCCCAATTTTAAAGGACTTGTACACAAGGGAGTGCATGTACAGACACCATGCATGTAACGCTACAATATAACTGAGATGATTGGATGCTGCTGTTTAACCAGTTAGCCCTGTTAGCAGTTGTTGCTTTCCAGGAACTTGATTTAGTACTACCTCCTGGGGGGGGGGTGCTGAAATTTAGCTCAGTGGAAACAAAAGCAGAACCCATGATAAGGGGTATATGTTCTGTTATGAGTTAGTAGGTTCCCACAGTCAAAAAGGCCTAATAATGAGTTGAGCAGTAGCTTAACCTGAGTAGACACAATGCAGATGTAAGGCAGGGTCATGCTGTCACGAATCTGCTCAGCAGATTAATGACGGCATGGCCTGATACCCATTGTGGGGCCTGGCAAAAACTGCCAAATGACTGTATGAGCAAGACTTTCTTGGCTGGCAATATGGCTCCCATTATATTGTCATATATGTGCAGAGCCAAGGTTTTTTTTGCCCTGTTTCCAGTTTTTGTGCAGACAGAGCAGTATTAGTTTTCTCATCTACATGTAAGTCACATTTCAGGAAATTTGCTCATTCACTTTCTTTACTGTATATCCAGAGTTCTTATTTTACTTTGACAAACAGTTATAATTATTAGAACAGCTGAGGGTTATGTACCTTGTCAAAGGGTACTGTGATAGTGGTTTCATGTTATTTAACCTAGTTGGACATGATGGAGGAATAACCTTTGTAAGCTAAGGGACAATAGTTGGGGTTATATTAAGTTCAACCTCTACAAATAAGAGGAACTATTTGTTTTGGGAATACCTTTGGTGATAAGTGGTAATAGTTTGATGGTTTAGGCACTGAATCACTGTAATAAATACAGAAAGTGCAGAATAATACATGGCAAAACATTTCATCCTTGAAACTGTATACTGACATTCACTCAGTCCTCTTTGTCTTTATCTGGAAATGTTCTCTCAGTCTTGTTCTGGGTGTCTGGATCAATGAAAACTTGAAAATGTTTTTGTAGGGTGAATCATTGTGGTGGTGCATCAGCCTGTGAGAGAGAAGCAGAATGAATATGTGCTTTCATGAACCAGGTTTGGATGTTTTGACCTTCATCTAAAACTGAAATTACTCTAAAGTCATCTAAAATAACATTTTTACACAGAGTACTGCTGGTTTCCTGTTTGAGAAAAGAGATGGCCTGAATCAGACTTTTTTACATTTATATTATTACATTATTTCATAAGCTGTATATGGCTGCAGTACAAGAAAAATCAACTGAAACATACTGTAAAATGTCACCTTTTCAGGACTGATAAAAAACAAATCTCTTTAAAGTTGGACACCCTTGATATTTCAAAATCTTATTTTTATAAGGTGTGTTTTTGCAGCTTATGCAGTTACCAACATTACTCATGACAAAAAGGGTTTTGGGTTATATTCATATATATAATGAACAGAACTAAAGAAGCAATTAGTTTGTGTTGCTGCAGTAAATATTAACAGTTCTTCCACGGTGTGACAGATGACGACTAGTTTTCTCAACATTCATGCAGCTGGTTCTCCTCTGCATGGTACTGAATGTCAATCTGCAGATCTCTCCCACACTCAGTAGCTACCAGTGATGCTGCACTAATTAGCCAACCCTCTCGAGTAGCCAGGGCCTCCCAGTGGCATCTGTGCCAAACAGAATTATTAAAGAAGGAGGGAGGAGGAGCTGCACCTCCTTTGCAGGGGAGCAAACACACAGGTTCACTTTAGTGTTCATTTCATTGTCTTCTGGTTGGAGAGCCACCTCTGTCATCAGTATTAACACCTAGATACATTTGTCACTGTAATGCACACTTCTTTATTTTTTTTTACTAAAATCTAGTTAAAATTTCATATGATTCACATAATTACAATTTCTTATTCTAATAAGCACTGTCTTAAGGAGCAGAGATGGTTTGTGACAGGCATTGAAAAGCTGTTGTGTAGATTCAGATGATGTGTCAAAGTAGTGGAGGTGTGTGTGTGTGTGTGTGTGTGTGTGTGTGTGTGTGTGTCTTTGTAGGGTAGTGGTATAGAGTAGTCTGTGCCCTTCAGTCCTGGAAACAGAGCTGCCTAATAAATAGATTAATTTTCCACACCACAAATTTTATGATTTAATAATCACTGGCCCTCCTCTCCAAAGCACTTGGCCTTCCTCACCTCCTGTCTTCAGGCGTTCTATCAACTTTGATGGCTTATTTGCTGATTTGTTTACTTATTTATGGTTCCCCCCTTCCCCCCGCCCCCCCACCCCGAAATGTGAAGGATGACCTTTAAAGAAGAACACTTCCTGCCAGACATGTGAAGGAGGTTTCACTCTCTGCTCAGAAAAAACTCTTCCTCTCTTCTATTCTCACACATTATCTTTTGTCACTTATGTGCATCAATACTTTTATGACCAAATCTTAAGTAAGGAAGTTTGTTTTTACAAATAGTAATATATTTTATTTGACACGTAACTGAAATTTCATTCTTTCTACAAGCATTTCACAAGACACTGGCATAATTGTCAATAACATCTGAATCAAAAAGCATGTAATGCATGAAAAGAATAATATGAACTTACAAAATAACACAAGATTTGACATTTTAGAATAGGCTTCTTTGACTGCTTGATGAAAGTTATTACATGAGAAGACTGATACCACACCTACATCTGTCTAGAAAATATAGAGCTACAATCAGCAGCCTATTAGCTTATCTTAGCATGAAGACCTGAAACAGGGGGAAACAGGCTGCCTAGCTTTGGCCAGTGATAACAAAAATTACTCAATTAGCATCTATAAAGCTTAATAATTAACATGTTGTATCTCTTTTGTGTAATAAGTATGTACAAAATGAAGTGTAAAATGTGAAATTGTGCAAAAACAAAAGCCACTACTGAGATGCTGCTGTCTGTGATCTGATGTGTGTCTAGCTAAAAGCCTGATGTTTCTGCACCACAGTTTGGAGTCCGCTGACATGTATGAATGTATTTTTGGACATCTTTGGTTTTAATATGTGTCTATATTATGTTCTGTCATTTGAAATGTGTGTATTTGAAGATCTGTGGGCTATTTTGGGTGTGTGATTTGATGTAAATGTTGAGTGGCCCTGCTCTACATTAGCTAATGAGCTGCAGTTTGCTCAGCTTCTTTTCTATCTCTATCTCTCTCTCACGCTCTCACTCACTTTCCCTGTAATGTATTCTTTCAGTACAGCCCCTGTGGGACTACACGTTTTCTTTGGGAGGTGAAATTTCATGCAGCATCTTTATTCCCTGTATTGAGAGCAGCTGTATATTCACACTAGCACACAATTAAAGGTGACAGCATTTAACCAGTGTGTGTTTCTACCGATGTGTTTTAGCATGCACATGTGTAATTGCATGTGCAATATCACAGGAAATAAGAAAGAGCTGCAACATCAGTAGTCAACACTGCTGGTAACAGGAGTATCTAATAGATCTTCCATACAAACTAACCTATGATGGAGTATGTGTATGTATCATAACGAAACTGGTAATGTACATAAATGGGGATTTTAAAAAAATGCTCTAAATGGAATAACAAAAATTATGGTATGCCACAGCATATCATGTGTGAATCCTTGCTGTACATATAGACACTGAGCTGTGATATCAGGATTTATGCTGACAGTAATGCTGACATTAATGTGAAAAGTGCGAGTCATCAAGCAAAAAACTATGGATTGATCCGCCCTCATTTTTCTTTCATGATGTAATGCAGTAATACTACTTGGACAGATAATACAATTTTATTGTGTATTTTATGATAAAGTGATGTTGGTCCGTCTGGATCGCAGAAATGTTGTATTTCTTAATAAGTGTATAGACAGATGCCTGATGTTCATATTTACACTGATTCAAAGGTCTGGCCAAATCACTTGTAAGTCTCTGGCTTTTTCCTATTGAATTTATTGGCTTCCTGACCCATAGGGGTTCCGCAAGTCAATTGAATTATTTGACTTGAAAGTGGTCAACTTTCTTTTATTGAGTTAGCGGTGCTCTAAAGCTCCACATAGGCATGCCTGTTTCCCTTTCTTTTGTCAGTAGTAGTTTGCTTTATTTTCAGCCTTTGACGGAGGCCTGTATATCCAGTTTGCTATTTGCTTGTATAATTTTATTCCATTAAAATTGCATTTATTTTACTTGCCAAAATACATCGCAATAGTGTAAACAGAAGATGTGTGGCTGAGATAAAGAAACTCCCCATATATTGTTCACCTCAGGAAGAGAAAAAAACATCAAACTGAATGATTTACTAATTTTATTTCTGAAACTATAGAACTAGAAGTGAGAAAGCAGTACAAAAACAGAACAGACATGTCATTAAGCAAGAGGCATTAAAACATAAAGAATAATTCAGCTGAGCTCTCTCTTTGTGTTCCTTTTCCTCTGCAGAAATTTGTCAAAGAATCCTCTCAGCACTCTGTCATGGCAGCTCTTCCAGCATCTCCAAATCTCTGAGCTGTAAGTCTTCCTTCCTTCTCTGATCTCTCATTGGCTTTTGTTTATATTTTATTACAACAATTTATCATCACTCCTGGCACACTTTCTGCTTCAGTACGAAATGTCTTCACCGCATGCCTTTGTAATTCCTGTTTCTGTTGTACAAAACCTCTAATTTGTCTGAGCACATGCAAAAGACTCAACCTATAGGCACCATACTGGCACTGTGATCTTATAAGTCATTTGTTGACTTAATTAACACACACAAAGGAAATGTAATGGCCTGGTAGGAGGAGGGAGTCTGACATAATTTTCTTGTTTGTCATTAAGATTTTAGCGATTATTGTGTTTATGGAATGAGTTTGCTCTTTCACCACTGGGGAGAACACTGTGATGCCAGCCCAGTGTAATTTACACATCATTACACCTGTCAGTACTGCCCATCATTTGAACCTTAGCGGTGCTGAACACTGCTTCCTGATGCAGCATATAAAGCTATGAAATATGGCTTGATGTGATATAAGACTATTTCAGGCAAGCCTTCAAGCCTTCTTATTGTGCTATTTTCAGAGGTAGAAGCAGGGCAGGGCCTCTGAGAACACAGCACAATGCTGATATGGGGAGGG